ACTGCTCCTGACATCCTTCGTCCGCAACCCCGATGCCTTGGACCTCGAAGCCAGGAGCTGCGGCTGCGGCTCGCACACCTGGAAAGGGTACCTGAGAGAGTTTGCATTTTGATGTTTGGGAATGATACTTCGGAAGACACTTTCAGTGATCATGCCGGCGAGGAAACTTACACAGGTTGGAGGATGTACGGTTTGGTCTACTTAAGCCGCAAGGTATCGGCATCGGCGTACAAGTGCTGATGTGGCATAGCGAGTCGCCTGTAAAGCCTTGTAGCTGGGCCACGGGCCATGCTGAGCGTAAATCCTGCGAAGGTTGGCGCAAATATCGATAAGCATGGATGCAGCCACAATACTTGCAAAAGATAATGATGCCATGAGTGTCTGTTGTTATTGCCAACGTCGGTCTTCGCGATTGTCTCTGCTATCGCAGCCCAATAACATTCGGAGTTCGGGAACAGCCAGGTCTCCCAGCAGCAGCGTGAGGAGGCCGCAGCCACGCAGGCCAGTATCCGAAAGGTATTGTAGCCGTCGGCGCATGATGTCATTTGCGTGTTCATTTCGGCATCGAGCTGGATGAGGATTGCCCCGATGGCCAGCGTGGCTTATAGAATAATATAGAAGTTGGAAACCTCGCCCTCGCCCTCGCGGGGTCCAGAGTCTCGGAAAGCTTTTTGCGAGGCGGCTCTGGAGCAAGAAAACCGGCAGTTGCGGCGAACTTTGGCCGACAGAGAGGTGCGGAGCTGCAGACTTTGGTTTGGAATCCTCGAGGCAATTTCGAATCCGTAGGTTCGGCAACCATACTGGCTGAATCTCATGCCTGCCCACAGCGTTCAAATTTACCGGGATAGAGCTCCGACGAAATTCAGCATGTCGGATGGAGACGTTGGCGAACTCTAGGAGATGACTTTCTGACAGGTGGTTTGTAGTACCCTTCCCGCATCTTGTCGCACCCAGAGTTGCGCCTGCCATCTCGAGGATGAGCTGGTAATGGTCGCGAGCAAGGTGGAACAGAAGTGGCTCGGCATTGTATCTGCAGCAATTCATAGCTTACTTCTCGGGACTTACAGAAAGCGGCACCCAATCTGAAATGTCCATCAGCGATTTGCGCAGCGAACATCCTATCTGTGGGAAGGGGGGTCACTTGTGTCATTGTTTTTTGTGTCGCTGGTGTCTTTTTTTTAAATCGTTCGGAAGCAACAGTCTCGAACGAGAGGCGCCTTGGTAGGACCCGACATAGGAGACCCTCGGCCCTCTCAAGTCGACGTCTCCAGGTTGCAATCGGGGTTCAGAATGGTGAGAAGATCACAGCACCGAGCCATTAACGCCCTGTCGAACCAATTTTGGTAAGCGCCGAGTGCGGGTTTCCCTTCCGGCAACGGCTCGAACACTAAACTTCACAAAACCCGAAGTCTAGCGTAATTCAACATGAACCCTTTACCTCGCATCCCAACTTACGTGCGGTCCGTTTACGTTGATCACAGGAGATGCCCAAGCCGAAACCCCAAATCCTAAACGGAGTAAACCGACCCCGAAACCCTAAACGAAATGAAAGGCAAACTTGAAATAAAGCCGAAACCCTAAAATGACTAAACCCAGGCCGAGGCCCGAAATCCTAATGAAAGAAAACAGGAGCAAACCCAGGCCGAAGCCTTAAAAGGAGTAAACCCAAACCGAAACGCTAAAAAAAGAAGGCCCGGTCCCTGAAAAGGAGTAAACGGACCCCGAAACCCTAAAAGGAG